AGGATGTCCAGCAGAAACAATAAGCCCTGATAGGAAAGCACCGGAGCCTGGCAGCCTGAGAGGAGGAGGTTCCTCTGGAGGGCTTCCTGGCGAGGGGGGCGTTCGCCTAGGACTCCGTGGTTCTTCACCTTTGTTACTCGGATGCTTTTGAACTGCAACTCCCAGAGACCCCAGTCAGGGCAGGTGGTGGTGAAGGCTTCTGGGAGTTGCAGTCCAAAACTCCTGAGTAACCCAAGGTTAAGAACCCCTGTTGCCAGTCCATCGGTCCAGTGGTTCAGGGAGAAAGAGGGAAGGGCCAGGCTGTGCCTCCTGTCGCTGGACTCTTTCCCGGTCCTCGTGCCTCTGCCAGTTGGTGTTAATTGCTACCGTTGAAATGGGTTCTCTCTTTTCAGAACTGGCCAATTACGAGAGGAATGTGAATAGAGCCATTCACAAGTACAATGCCTACAGGTAAAAGCTGCATGTGGGGGAACCGTATGCTTTGGTTGGAATCCCTCCAGGAATTATTGTAGACAGTTCAACAAGAGCCTCGCACACCTGTTATTTTGCAATGATTTGCCGTACAGCGTCTTGTTTTACTCTGAAACAAGCTTGTGAAATCTGTAAGACAGGCAGCACGCTGGTAACATTTATTGTATGTGATGTGACTGTTCTCAGGAATTGAAGTTTTTCTTTCTTGTAAGATGCAGGCTGGAAAGATGGCCCCTGCAAGCACTAGCAGGCACTCTTAGGGTGAACTCTGTGTGCTGATAAATGTGTGCCCAGTCTTGCTTTCGGGCCAAGTCAGGATGTTTACGGAACTGTTTTTAGCAGTTTTCACAGGACGCTGCTGTATTTTGAGTCAGATCTTTAACCCAATCTAGCCCAGCATCATTAGCATGGCTTGGGAGCACATCCTCAGGATTGCATGCAAGATTCTTTCCTGGAGATGGCAGGGATTGAATCCTTCTGGAATGTGCACTACCACTGAACCATAGTGAGAAACCTGCTTAAGAGTGCATGCTTCCAGAGGGAGCAGTCTGAGTGGATTGTGCAGCTGGACTCTAGACTCAGGGGTTTTTTTTTTAATTGCTTTATGCAGGAAAGCAGCTTCTGTGATATCCAAGTATCCAACCAAGATAAAAAGTGGGGCTGAAGCAAAGAAACTAGTAAGTCTGGATGAAGGAAGGATGTGTGGTTCTCTTTTTCAAGTCTATCATATGATAAAAGTTCTTTTTTAATTTCTGTGGTTTGGTTGTCTACCTCAGATCTGACTTAACCTCTCCAAGTTAAAGCAATTTTTAGCATAAAAGGAGGAGGTTATGCATTTTAAGAACTATTTTATATAATATTTGCACATTGAGCTCTCTTGGATTTGATCACATGTCATGTATGTTTTTCAGGATGGTGTGGGAGCTAAAATTGCTGAAAAGATAGATGAGTTTTTATCTACTGGGAAACTACGCAAGCTGGAAAAGGTAAGTCTGTGGGTGTTGTAAGTTCATTTTGCATAGATGAGCATGTTTGAATTGGCAAGTCGAATACTAAAAATACAACTGTTTCTGTGGGAGACTGAATACGCAGTTGACAGTTATGATATCTGCTTCAATGTGTCTCTTTCCCAATGAGTCTATCGGAAGCTGTCTTCTTACACATGTTGAGCCAAAACATCTACTTGGCTTTCTGCTGTTTCTACTGACAGGAGGTGGGGATGTCTAGATTTCCAGATGTCCATTCCTGCACATGGCCCTTGGGCCCTGAAAATCAGGCTTCTGAGCTCATTGTTGTTTCTTCTTTTGCTCTCCCACACTGTTGTGTAGGGAAGTGGGAGTGGGAGGGAGCAGCTCTTTCTGCATGTTGAGCCAAAACATCTACTTGGCTTTCTGCTGTTTCTACTGACAGGAGGTGGGGATGTCTAGATTTCCAGATGTCCATTCCTGCACATGGCCCTTGGGCCCTGAAAATCAGGCTTCTGAGCTCATTGTTGTTTCTTCTTTTGCTCTCCCACACTGTTGTGTAGGGAAGTGGGAGTGGGAGGGAGCAACTCTCTCTGTTAACTCATGTGCAACACCCAGTGTTTCTCAGCCAGAGACCATCTTTGTCTGATGTGTATATGTGAACTTCACAGTGCGGTCTTGCAGGCATGTGATTCTGTCCTCCCTTCCTCGCTAGATTCGACAAGATGATACCAGCTCTTCTATCAATTTCCTGACCAGAGTGACTGGCATAGGGTAAGGGTATGGGCATTTTAAGAACAAGACTGACTCCATGATTGTTGGACTGGGGACCTCTCTGGACTTTCCTCCCCCTTGGAGTGCTGTGGCTTTCATCCTCTTCTCTGGTTGCTTATCCTGTTTCTTCCTGAAATACTTGTGCTGTTTACGCCTGGACATCAGCTGGATCTGGATTAAGTGGCTAAAGGAATGCTGGCCTCAGATTCTGTCCCATCTGGTGACCCACTGCCTTGTTGTTTTTCAGTCCTGCTGCTGCCAGGAAATTCGTGGAGGAAGGAATTAAGACTCTAGAAGGTAAGTCCTCCATGAGTTGCCTCTTAAGTGGGGAGGGTACAAGTGATTCATTGGCTGGCAGCCACACAAATTGCTTTCATGTTTCTTACCCTTTGAAAAGGTCCAGTTGGGGAGACTTGTCAACTAAGGCTCATCCCCTCAAAGCTGTTGCCCAGTGTTTCGCCAGTGCTGGACATTTTAGAAGTCTGCACCAGCTCATCTCCTGGCCTTGGTTTTTTGGAAGCCTTTGGGAACAAGTGGGCGTGGCCCAATCCTCTTTTTTTAAAAATGTTCTTCCTCTTAAGAATTCTTGTTTTGTTAAATAGCATTGACCCAGGCATGCTGTGTTTGTCTACAGCCCCAGTGAGAAAGAGAGCTTGGTGAAAGTACATGGCCCTCCTCATCGTAAATTCATGCAATTCTGATTATGCCAGACTCACTCCCTTGTTTCTCCTCGTCCCTCCGCACATTATTTTGCTTACCCAATTTTTATTTACACACAGAGAGATACATTGAGTCATTGAATGAGTGCCTCCATTGTTCCAAGGCGATTCCTCACTCAAAGGTCTCCTTTGCTGCCCAAAGTCCAACCAGAGGGTGCCCCTGGTGAAGTCCTCCTCTATGTGTGTGTGTGGGGGGGGGGCTCTTCTCTGGAACTCCCCTTTGGAGGAGGAACGGCTGGCTAGCTTTTTCTTCGGCCTCCAAGAGACACTTCTTGGTTTTTCCAAAAGGAAGGTTCCATTTCTGGGGCCTGCTCTTTGTGCAGCTCACATGGAGTATATCTCCCCGCCCACCCCCGCCTCTTCTGTTGGTTGGACTTAAGTAGCTCAAATGGATTGGGGGGGGGGTTAATTATTTTTTAGAGATTGTAGGACAGGTATAGATCTTTATGGCAGTGTCCTGTCTTGAAAAAGAATACACATGGCCAAAATGTTGGCTAGGAGCATGCTTTTGAAAGCCTGCATGAGAGCACATTGTGTTACATGGTGGAATATGTGATCTGACAGAGAAACCAAGCTAGGGCTGTGATACCAACCCCTCCTTTTCATTTTTTTTTTTTTCTGAACGAGAGAAAGATCAAAGCGCTAAACCTAACCCAAAAAGGGCAAGCCATAGGACTGCCTCCCTGGTGCCAGCTTAAGAAACCCTTCGCCAATTCCTGCCTCTGCTTCTCCTTCCAGATCTAAAGAAAAATGAGCATAAACTGAACCATCATCAGCGAATTGGATTGAAGTAAGACCTGGGTGCTTTGTTCGTGGAAGATTTTGGTTTGGGCATTTGTCCTTACTTGAGTACATGTTTTCCTAGAAATAGAAGTATCACTTAAAGACTGCTTCGATGAGCAAAACTGGGCCAATGTTTAGTTTGCTACTAATGTGGAATTCCACCTCACTGAAATTTTTTTAAAAAAATGGTCAGCTGTTTCTGTGAGCTTCCAGTGTCGATAAGCATTTATCATAACCTTAAAGGATGTTCCTTGAAATACTGTGATACCAAATTTCTTGTGCAATTATCCGGTCTAATTAAGTAAATGATCCCTGCTGTACAGGCAAGGTTACTGCTGAATTAGTCCCCCACCTGAGGCAGTAAAAGCTCTGTAGAATAAGCCAACGGGTTGTCTAAGAGTAAGTGAGGTTCTCCCCCCCTCCCCCCAACCAGTAGATTAAAGGGCTTTTATCAGTTTGCTGCCAGACTTGTCCAGTTCCACCAGGGAAGTGTCTTGGGCTGGGATTTGCTGCAGGATCTCCTGGAGTTGCCCCACCCTTGACTGGATGACCAGAGAGGAGCCTCAGGGACACTCGGGGCGGCCTTTGAATTCAACTTAAGGATGCCCTGGGTTGCCATGTTGTTTCTGAATGTGGATTTCAGTGGCATTTTCTTCAGAATAGGGACGTGGTGGCACTGTGGGCTAAACCGCAGAAGCCTGTGCTGCAGGGTCAGAAGATCCGGCAGTTGTAAGATCGAATCCACGCAACGGAATGAGCACCCGTCGCTTGTCCCAGCTCCTGCCAACCTAGCGGTTCGAAAGCATGCAAATGCGAGTAGATAAATAGGGACCACCTCGGTGGGAAGGTAAACAGCGTTCCGTGTCTAAATCACACTGGCCATGTGACCACGGAAGATTGTCTTCGGACAAAACGCAGGCTCTATGGCTTGAAGAGCGGGATGAGCGCCGCCCCGTAGAGTCGGACACGACCGGACAAAAATTGTCAAGGGGAACCTTTACCTTTACCTTTTTTTCTTCAGAATAAATGTGCCGAGAGTTACAACCACTGCTCGTTTTTTTCTTTTATAAACAATGGGTAGATACTTTGAAGATTTTGAGAAAAGAATTCCTCGGGAAGAAATGTTGGAGATGCAGGTGAGAAAAGATGTCCGTGCTCTATCCCTCACTCTGAGGGAAAAGCCATGAAGTTAGCAACAGAGAGGGGACCGTCTTTAACATTATTTGTTTTCTCTGCCCCAGGAAATTGTATTACGTGAGGTAAAGGAAGTGGACCCCAGATACATTGCTACTGTGTGTGGCAGTTTCCGTCGAGGTTGGTATTCCTGGCCGGCTGTCCCGCTGTCGTGACCCACCGGCTCTGTGGGTGGTTCAGATCCTTATGGCTAGAAATGTAAGGTCGGGTCTGCTGGGAAGGTCTCTGTGCTGCTCCCTTGGGAGTCTCTTGGGACCTTGAACGTTTTTGGTTTATACAGACTCCGATTCCAAAAGTAAGGAGAGAGGAGTAAAGCAGGAGGCAGAAGTCAGGACATCCCCTTGTGCTTTATTCTGTTCTCCCATTTACGTCTGTTGCTGGACATCCCAGCCTGAGCTCAGCCCTTTGACGGCAGACAGCGCTGTCGATAAGCTTTCAAAACCAAGGCAGGATTCAGTTGTGGAGGCAGGAAACGTGAAGGCAGTCTGTCATGCAGGGTGTATCGTTCTGAACGTGCAAACGGAGTTTCCAGAGCAGCGCTCACTGTCTCTTTCTACTCTGTTCTGAAAGGTGCAGAATCCAGTGGGGACATGGATATCCTCCTGACTCATCCAGACTTCACGTCGGAGTCCTCCAAGCAGGTGAGTGCTCTTTCCGGAGCGTGCTGCTCTGCGCAGCAGACATCCGTGGACTTGGAAAGGGGCCCAGCAGTTTGGGGCTGGGCTGGGCCGGCACCTGGAACTGTGCACTTGGGCTCACCTGCTCCAGCCTCGTCAGGAGGGTGGGAACAGGGACCAAAACATGGTTAGGGGAGGGCATTTGACACGGATGCCATAATCACAAGATGAGTCTGAACAAAAAGGAATTGTTTTAAGTGCTAAAATTGGGAAAGTACAACAATAAGAATGAGGAGGAGAGCGAAAATGGAGATGGGGCATGAAGCCTCACTAGACCAGTGGTTCTTAACCTTGGGTTACTCAGGTGTTTTTGAACTGCAACTCCCAGAAACCCCAGCCAGCACAGCTGGCGGTGAAGGCTTCTGGGAGTTGCAGTCCAGAAACGCCTGAGTAACCCAAGGTTAAGAACCACTGCACTAGACAACCTGGATGTCCTTGAAAAGGTTGTTTACAAGGCAACCTGCCTCCCTCCATAGTCTGTGCAAGGGAAGAAGCCGTTTTTGTTCCTCTCAGGTGCAGCTCAAGCCTCCCCTGTTTGAATTTTGAGGCGCGTTTTGTTTCCTTCTCAGTTGTGACCCATGTTTTTTGCTTCCAAAGCCAAAGCTTTTGCATCAAATTGTGGAGCAGCTGGAAAAGATCCACTTTGTGACTGACACGCTGTCCAAGGGGGACACCAAGTTCATGGTGAGTGTTCTCGTGGCCGGTCTCAGTTGTGCAGGAGACCCCGTGGGTGGGAGGAGGAGCAGGCTCCGGTCTCTGCTCTTTCTCTCCCTAGCCACCCTCCTCTGAGGTGGAGGCGGCTTGAACCGCCTCGTGCCCAGATGCCTTTCTTCCATGAGAAGCCTGGGGAGTTCTCACCCCAGAGGGGAGTGTATTCCATTAAAACTTTCCTGCAGGATCCACCGAGTAGGCAGGCTGGCACCTCTCTGGCTACAGGGAAATCGAGGTTTGGTCCTTCAGCAAAAGGCTCTCTGCCAGCAGGCGGAGGCTTAACGCTCCCTTTCGTGTGGGTTTTATCACAAAATGCAAGCAGAAACATCCTTTGGAGCAAAATCCGCACCTTCTCTACTATGGGGAGGCTTCGCTGAGCTTCCTCTCTACTTTTATGTGTCTGTGGCAGACGTCTGGTCTCATGGGCTGGATGGGCGGTGTCACCGTCACTCTTCCCAGGCCCTTTCCATCCGTAGATGTAGGTCAGCATCAGCCACCAAGTCATTGGGTCGCCCCAGTTGGGGTGGGCAGGTTGCCTTCAGCCCCGCCTCTCATCACCACCAGGGGGTTTTCTTCCAGAATTTCCGTTTAGTCTTCACCCCTGCCCATGTTTCTTCTGGCAGGAAAAACATGCACACAGTTTTGCTGTTTTGCTGTTGTAACTTTAATACAAGTTTGTTACTGCGCTGGTTCTTGCTTGCTTCGCCTGCTGTTCTGAGGCCATTCACTGCCTGTTTGCATGGGGGATGGGGGCCCGGCTTGGGCCAAGGACCCTGGGAGAGATGGCCATGGCTGCCTCCCCAGGGCACCCGGAGAGGAAATAGAGCTGCTGCCACAGCGTGTCTCCTAATCCACCTCCCAGACAAGAGGCCTGGAAGCCTCCTGTGTAAACTGCACGCTTCTTCATGCTCCAGAGGCGAGGCCAGGTGCCAGCTTCTGGCTCCTTTGAAGTCCCAAAGTGGCAGAAGTGTAGACAGCAGATTTCTTTGCAGATAGATGCTGTTGAGGAGCCGTGTGCTTGACGGAAGCTCTGGTGAGTCCTCTTTAACATTTGCTTTGTCTTGTTTTCATCCCCTTCTAGGGAGTATGTCGACTCCCCAGCAAAGAGGGGGAAACCGATTACCCTTATAGGAGAATTGATATCCGGTGAGTCTTAAGCAGGACGGGGGATGCCTCCAGTGGGGCGTTAAGTAGAGGCTGCTGGGATTGGAGGGGCTCGGAAAAGAGGGACGGGACACATCCAGAGAGTCACCCGTCAGCCTGAAATGGAATCAGCCCCAGGAGAGCGGGAGAAGGAGGAAGTCAAAGAGGCCAGCGGCGGGCCGAGTTAGGAACAGGAGGAGGAGGAGGAGGGGCACGGTGATCTCGTGGGCTCCCTTCGACAGGCCACGCTGCCGGAACAGGAGGAGGAGGAGGAGGAGGAGCACGGTGATCTCGTGGGTTCCCTTCGACAGGCCACGCTGCTTCCTCTCTGGTGCTTGCCAAGGCTGGTGGCATTTTGAGCTCAGCTGCCAGGTTTCTTTAGCAGGCACCAGAACTGTGTCCTCATCTCATGTTAGCTGGGACGTTGGCGACCGCAGTCCTAGAGAGGTCGGGGGCTTCCTCGATTGAAAGGGGTGAGGTGGGAGAGCAAGGCCTTCGCTTCTGCACATCCCTCTCTCCCAAAGCTCATCCCTTTCTTGTCGACGCTCTAGGTTGATTCCCAAGGACCAGTATTACTGCGGAGTCCTGTACTTCACGGGAAGCGACATCTTTAACAAGAACATGCGGGCCCACGCCTTGGAGATGGGCTTCACCCTCAACGAGTACACCATCCGGCCTTTGGGTGTCACAGGTGAGTCGGCGGCCTTCGCCCTCCAGTTTGTGTCCAAGGAGGAGGAGGAAGAAGAGGGTATTTTTCTGCCCGATGCCACAACTCTTATGAGACTCCTAGGACCAAAAAGGCAGATAAATCTCTCTAGGGCAAGACTAGAAAAAGGGTGTGTTTGTGTGTGTGTAGAGCAGGGCGGATTACTGTCCTCACATGTCTTTGCTCACCTTCACTGCCTGTCCACTGCTTGGTCCCCTTGGAGTACAGGCAGAGTGGCCTCCCCACCCCCACCCCCACGAGAGTGGTTGCCTCCTGGGCCACTGAGGCAGCCCCTGTGGCCTTGTGTTTGCAGGGGTTGCTGGGGAGCCTCTCCCTGTCGACAGCGAGAAGGACATCTTTGACTACATCCAGTGGAAGTATCGGGAGCCGAAAGAGCGGAGCGAGTAGCTGCCTGGCTCAGCCCAGGCCTTTTCTGGGACCGAGGTGTCGGCCACTTGGCCAGGGGTTGTAATTTATTGCCCTTGTGGAAAGTCTGGGGGAGGGAGCGAGCGAGCGAGCGAGAACTGTTTTTAAACACCTTCGGAAGCAAGTATAAGCTGTGATAATTAAAGCACTCACTGGTGTGGGTTCGTAGGTGTTAAAAAAAACAGCTTTAATAACGGCTATGATTTATCTTTGTTTTAACATGCCATGTTACTGGGAATCTGAAATAAATGTTGCAAAGAGGGGTCCAAGACCTTTTACTAGCATCGTCCACTTCCTTGCCCCAGCAGAGTTCTACCTGATGGTCCAGCAGCCTAAGCAGCTGCCCCCAAAGGGAGCCACGCGACGGAGCTGCCCTGTGGAATAGTCCGACTGTTGCTGTCAGTCTGGGAAGAATGAAGTCTCTCCACCTGAAAGCAGGTCCTCAGGTCCCCACCCCCAGAGAAGTGGAAAGTCCCAGAAAGTGTGAGGGGCTGTGACGATGTTGCCCCTGTTGCTGCCGGGGGCAGGCCTCGAACCTCTCGTCTAAAAAAGCAGGAGAGCGGATGTCGGCCAGAGAGTAGAAGCCTCTTCCTGACAGTGACAGTAGGTGGGCTGCAGAGACAGCCACCTCTCTCTCTGGAAGTCTTCAAGAACACAGGCTAGGGGGTGGCCTGCTGGATGCATGTGTGTGCACGCGCACACAACCAGGAGCCCTACAGGAGGAGCTGGCCCTGGTGACCTCTCAAGACCACCTCTTGAACGGGCTCCAGC